TAAATATTGTCCAGTAAGACAAAAAATATGATAAACTGACAATATAGACTTTTTTCTTTATAAGCTTCATATTTTCTTACCATTTTTCCATTTCAAAAGACAGGGAATGGATCCCAGACCATAGCATAAGTGCACTTGCTGATAATGCAGTTGTTTGGGGCATTTTGCAGAGTGCCCAGAATCCATCATCAAATGGAAAACAGCCAAAAACAGGTAAGATTGACTCTAAGGCAGCAGTACCATGTTGGTGGCTTACTTATTTAGTAGCTTGTTTCTTAGCAGTTTACTAGGCACCTGAAAATTAGTTTTTGCAGTTATATAATTTAAACTTATTTATGTTAACTAAATGTTCTGGACTTTTCTTCCAAAACCAAAAGTCCAACTGTGCTCATTATTCCTCTCAAATGACATGAATTATAATCTTAGTTATTTTCTATAACAATGTATTAGGGAATAATATTTGTAAAATGTAGCTCAGGTTATAGTATATTTTGAACAATCCTTATGAAATACATACTCAGTTTCATTACACACTCGGAAAGCAGTGTATTTATATCAGATTTTACATACTCTTTGACTTGGTTCATATTGTGATCAGACAGAGCCACATGTGAAATGATTGACTTAGGTTAAGGTTGTTACTTATAGCTGTTGTTTAGATAGCTCAGTTCTAACTAATGCTGTATGTGTTGATCCTGCGATCTTGATTTCAGTTCATTAAATCCATTCTTTAACCAAAGTAATTGCAAGATTTTGCATGGGATAATTCTTTTGACATGTTGAATGTCCCATTGTAATATTTTTCAGATGAGTGTGTACAGACTGTATGACACCCTTAAAATCACTAGCATTTTTAGGACATTGCTGTTTCCCATTACATCTGCTGTAGTAGGTTTGCTATATGCTAAATTTCCTAGGAAGTTGCAGTAGATAACTAATGAATTAAGGCAATTCAACATACATGTGTTGAGTAAATTAGCACTATGCTAGGCCCTGGGGATAAAGTAATGCATAAGTCATGTCTCCTGATCTTAGGGAACTAACAGTTTAAGAGGAATACTTGACAAAGTGGGCTTTTTGCCTTGGTTTAAAGGCTATCTTCAAATCAGATATTTAATTACATATGATTTGTCCATATATATACAATTTATACATCTCTCTTGCCCTAAACTCTATGATTAAAACTTCTTGGCTAGCTTAGATCCTTTCCATATGTATTTATGTTGAGAATCTGTCAGATATAAAATTTTTTTAGTGGAAAAACGATCCATTTATGATACATATTTTGGCTCTATAATTAGGTACCTATTCTCACATCAAAGTCTAGAGCAGCTTCAAAAATTCTGGTTGCTTCTTTCTGAAGCAGTTAGAAGGAAATGTTGTAAGTCACTGCATATTGATGAAAACAAATTCATATGCATACTATGAGAAATTTGTTACAAATTTCTTTAGGCATATCTTTATAAATAAGTAGTAGCCAAATGCTTTTATGTATCAATTTAGGCAGATCAGCTGAAACCAATAATTTGCTATAAAAAACAACAGCACCTACCTTAGGCCAGGCACTGCCAGACACCGGTGATACAAAACACACTCTTGTTTCTATTGCCTGAGAACTTAGAGTCCAGGGCAGAGGTTTTCACGGTAGGTGTGAGCATAATCACCTGAGAAACCTATTGTAATGATGATTTCCAGATCTCACTCTTAGAGATTCTGATTCATGAAGGCTGAGGTAAGGCTCAAGAAATTGTATTAATTTTATCAACAACTCTGTTATGCTGATATAGATAGTCCAAAAATCATATTTTGAGAAAACTGTTACATATATATGTACAAGCACATAAATTATGCCATGTATAA